CACCTGTTGGGGTTGGGGGGAAGGCTGCGCTGCTCCCGGCATCGCCTCCAGAAGGTCTCGACCTCCTCTGACATCTCCTCTGTGCTGATGAAAACTTGGAAGAGCAGAGTCAGAAGGAGGCGCGGGAAATTGTCCTTCACTCCCCCTGGGCACCAGGAGTGGGACAGCTGGAGGATCTCCCAGAGTGCCACAGTTGCCTGCCAAAGACAAAGCACCCAGAGACGGCTCTCAGGGCCCAGATGTCCATGTGGCAGGGCCCAAGCATGGCAGGGACAGACCAGGGGAGACACAGGGGGATCCCCCACCCTGGTGTCCCTGAACCTGCTCCTAAGCCAGGCTTGCAGCCCAGTGCCTGGGGCAGGGAGAAGCAGTGGTGAGGGAGGATGGAAAGGCGTCCCAGAGGCAACCTGGGGGCGAGCAGAGGCCAGCTCAAGAAACTCACAGCCAGGGCAAAGACATCCCTCTCATCCCCATCAGAGGTGCGTCTCCTGTGCGCTGGCCAGTATTCCAGCACACGGAAGAGGATCTGCAGCACCGGCTCCTTAGTCCATCTGGAGGAGATGAGTGTCTTCCACATGGTGCGAGCAGCTCTGTGGAGTCACAACTCTGCCTCAGGGGGGTCTGGGACACAGCTCTGTGGCCTGGGCAGCTGCGGGGCCCAGGTGACAGAGCCACGGTGCCTTGTGGGGCAGGGAGGCAGGCTGGCCTCAGGATTGGAGGCTGACATGCCAAAGCTGGCAAAGAGAGGAGCTGGAGTGTCCTGGAAGTCTCCATGTCTCTGGCACACCATTTGGGACAGGCTGTCCAGGGGGATGGGGTCTAAAGGCAGGTGAGCCCTCAAGGCAGGTGGGCCCCATACCTGTCACAGGCTGGGGCAGAGCGCAGCAGGGTCACTGCAACGTCCATGGGGTGTTCCTCAGTCAGCAGGACAAGAGTCTTGTCCAGCCTGTGCTCAGCAGACACATTGGACATGAGCCACTGATGGATGCACCTGACTATGGCCGGCACCTGGAGGGGACACGGGGGACAGTTGGAGAGCTGCCAGAGCCAGTAACTTGCCCAGTTTCCCCCAAGAAGTGCTCCCCTTGCCACCACACTCTGCTGGTCTCAAAGGCTGAGGGGGCCCAGCGCAGCCGGCGTGAGGGGCCACAGCATCCCTGGGGGACTGGAGCCCTGGCCACAGGCTGCTTACTTGCTTTGCTTTGTAGACACCGTTCTCCACAAGCATATCCAGCAGGGCAGCGCTGGTCTGGGCACTGAAGAGGTCCGAGTTTGCCGTGTCCCCAGTGGCCATGAAAGTGGCCTCTTCATGCCAAATGCACCTGATGAATCTGCAAACCAGCTACAGGAGAAAGGCAAGGAAGAGAGAGGGATTTCCCCTGGAGGGCCGCGACAGCGGTGCAGGGCTGAGCAGTGAGAGCAGGCCCAGCCCAGGCGGGGATGGCTGCAGGTACCTGTGCTGCCCTGCGGAAGCGGCCACGGGCACGGAGCTGCTCTTCTGTCTGCTCCTGGCCTGCATCTGGCAAAGAGCGAGCGTGCTCAGAGCTGAGGGTGTGCGGGAGAGGCCGGAGAACACAGCCCAGGCCTGGGCTCCAGGAGCAGGCAGGGCCAGCCCCAGGATGCCCAGTGGATGGAGCACGGCTGCCAGGAGATCAGCCCCTCTGCCCCCCTCCCTTTCCCTGAGCATGTCCAGAGGGGATGGGACAGGATGAGGCCAAGGGGGCTGCAGCCACCAGCCCTGTGGCCCAGCTCCAGCACTCACCCTCCTGCGGGGGCTGCACCTGCTGCACCTCTTCAGGCTGCTGTGCTGGAGCAGCCCTAGGGCTTTCCTCCTTCTCCTCCTCCTTCACCCAGGCCAGCTTGGGCACCGTGGGGGGTCTCTGCTGCACGTCTCCGTCTGGGGTTTTGGCTACCTGCAGCAGAGATGCCATGGAAAAGCTTTGGCTCCCCAAGTCCTGCAGTCGTGCCTTGAAGGCAGCTGCAAGAGAGAAGCCTGGGAAATGCCTCGCCTTATCCAGTCCCACTGTCTGGCCTCAAGGGCACCTGCCCCAGGGACTGGAGATGCCTTGAGCAGCCCCAGGTCCCCAGGTCCCACAGTCTGGCCTGGAAGATGCACAGGGGAGAGGTGGAGAGCTGCCAGAGTGAGCAACTTGCCCAGCTTCCATGGAGAAATATTTCCCTTCCCAGCACACTGTGCCAGCCTCAAAGGCTGAGGGGGCCCAGCGCACCCAGCTTGGGGGGCCACAGGCTGCTTACTTCAGCAGAGACAGCTCTCTCCTCAAGAAACTCCAGGCTGGGGGTATCGGCCAGGCGCTGAACAGGCGCGGCGTCAGTGCTCGCCACGCCCTCCGTCGTTGTGGCGTCGGCCTCCTCCGTGAGACCAGGCAGCACAGAGTCACAGTGTGACACATCATCGGTGGACGTGGTGTCCCAGTGGGTTGTGAGATCACTGGTTGCGGTGTCACACTTTGCTGGGACAGCAGTCGATGCAGTGCTGACATCAGGCTTTGTCAGCTGGGTCAGGATGGTGTCAGGCTGGGCCTGGACATCAGCTGGTGTGATCCTGGCCTTTCTACGCCGACTGCCCATGAATTTCATAAATGTCTGCAGGAGAAAGAAGGGCAGGGAAGAGAGGGATGTCCCCTGGAGGGCTGCGACAGCGGTGCTGGGCTGAGCAGTGAGAGCAGGCCCAGCCCAGGCAGGGATGGCTGCAGGTACCTGTGCTGCCCTGCGGAAGCGGCCACGGGCACGGAGCTGCTCTTCTGTCTGCTCCTGGCCTGCATCTGGCAAAGAGCGAGCGCGCTCAGAGCTGAGGGTGTGCGGGAGAGGCCGGAGAACACAGCCCAGGTCTGAGCTCCAGGAGCAGGCAGGGCCAGCCCCGGGATGCCCAGTGGATGGAGCACGGCTGCCAGGAGATCAGCCCCTCTGCCCCCCTCCCTTTCCCTGGGCATGTCCAGACGGGATGGGACAGGATGAGGTCAAGGGGACTGCAGCCACCAGCCCTGTGGCCCAACTCCAGCACTCACCCTCCTGCGGGGGCTGCACCTGCTGCACCTCTTCAGGCTGCTGTGCTGGAGCAGCCCCAGGGCTTTCCTCCTCCTTCTTCCTCCGGAACAGCCTGAGCAGGCTGAAGCGTCTCCCTGCCATGCCACAGTCTGGTGTCGAGGGCACCTGCAAGAGAGAAAGAGAACCTCGGAGAAACTCCGGGCCCTAAGTCCTGCAGAATGGCCTGGAGGCCACCTGCCGCAGGGATTGGAGACACCTCGGAGAAGCTCCGGGTCTCCAAGTCCTGCAAAAGGGTCTTAAGAGCACCTGCCGCAGGGATTGGAGACACCTCGGAGAAACTCCGGGTCTCCAAGTCCTGCAAAAGGGTCTCAAGGGCACCTGCCACAGGGATTAGAGACACCTCGGAGAAACTCCGGGTCTCCAAATCCTGTGGAAATGCCTCGAGGTCACCTGGAAATGAGAAAATCCTCCAAAACGCTCCGGGTCAGCAAGGCACGAGTTGGCTGCGCGGGGGCTCCGCACAGCACCGCTCTGTCCCGTCCTGTCCCGTCGCCTGCTCCGAGGAGCACTGTTGACACTGTGGCCGTGTCACCAGCAGCACCTCTGTCACCGCGGGTCATAAAGGGCCCTTGGACACCCTGCCCCCTTCCATCCCACCGGCCGTGCCCAGCGTGTCACAAAGGGCCCTTGGACACAGTGCCACGTGGCCTGGGGCCTCCCCCAGCCCCGCCAACCTGCCCCACCTTGGAGGGAATCCGCTCTCTGAAGTATCTAATCTGGCTGGACCTGAACTGTAGGAACGGCTCAAGAAATGAGCAAACACTCCCCTCCTGTGCCTGCTCACGGCAGCACAAGGAGCCCCCTCGGCCGCCGACTCAGTCGCAGCGGGAAGGGCACGGGGCCTTCCACACAAGCTGGCACGGCCTCCTTGGGAGAAGTGCTGGCTGGTGGCCATCCTAAACATGGGGGGGTGACACCAAGAAGGAAGGTGTGGGCAAGGGCACCAATGCTGCTGGCAGCCCTTTGGCCAGCGCTGCACCCAAATCAGCAGCTCTGGCAAGTCCTGGCCAGAGGAGACCTGCCACTGCCCCGAGTCCTGGCAAGGCTGCTGCCCGTCTCCTGCCCCAAAGAGCTGTGCCCCTGTGTATTAGTTCATTTGAATACATGCCCGGAATAAAGACAAGTACAACAGACATTCAAACAGTACAAAAAATCTTTTATTGCAGTAAGAATAAAAAACTAGCAAAGAGAATCAAAAGCTAAAAAAGAATACAAAATAACTGCTTTATCAGTTGGCATTCATACAATACTATGAATGGCTTTTATTATAGTATTAACTAGTAAAAAGGGAATTAAAGGAACATTTAAAGGATATTAAAACAATACTACGAGTGGTTTTTAATACAGTATTAACTAGTAAAAAGGGAATTACAAGGATATTAAAAAAGGATATAAAACATTTGCTTTCTCAATTGCTTCCTCTCAATAAACTGTGCTTACCCACACAGACAGGCCAGGGCTGCCAGGATCTGCAGCAGCTGGTCGGTGCCCGTGCTTAGCGGGCGTCCCCGCGGAGCAACACAGTCTCCATGGCAGGATGAGGATCGCTCACCCCAGCATCCTGACACCCCATTTTATCAGCTCCACATTACACCACGTAGGGCCAGTACCCAGTATAAGGTGATGCCTGAGTGGCAGCCAAACCCCGCCTGTTCATCACCTGATAGCAACAGTCTGTGCATGCCCTGCTGTAGGGCAAGGGGCCAGCGACCCCTGCCCACAGAATCTTCCTCCCATCATCATCTTTCTCACCCCTATGGATGACCTCTACCACTGTGTTTCAAGGGTAGATGTATCTATCTTGCAATATGTAGCAAAACCAAGGAAGAACTCAGCTCTGATAATAGGGGATATCAAGCTGACTTGCTAAAAAGCACAATGGACCTTACAATTAACCTGTGCCATGAAGTTACATTGTACCATACTCTGGCTGGTTTCACATCCTAATATGATTCCGTTCTCACGCCTCTATGCTCCATTGATCATCTAATTCAAAAGTACCCCCCTTACAGTTTAGCATGGCAGTGATCCCTAGGGAATATCTGCTGGCCTATCCAGTAGCCTCAGTAGAGGATGTGCTAAGGACACACCAGTAAGAACTGCTTTTAGTTGCTCCAGTAGCTTTGCTCCCTGGGCCATAAGGCATGCACCAGAAATCCTGTTAACATCTCGAGTGTTTAATTAAGCATGAGATCACATTGCTCAGTTCCACTGTTAAACTGCCTCTGTGGTGCAGCCTCAGCTCATCTGGGCACTGCAGGGCTGGGCAGAAAGGCTCTGGGTGCTGAGGATCACGGCAGAACCCAGGCCCTGCTGCCATTTGGGGCAAGCTCATCTCATGCAGCAAAACCCACCATGGAAAGATAATTTTTGGTGTGTCTGCAGGAACAAACCTGGGCCGTGCCATCCTCACTGGCAGTGTCATCTGTCCCCACCATGGGAGTGTCTCTCCTGTTCCTTAAGGAATGATACACATAAACCATCTCCCTGCGAATTTCATCCTAAAAGACAGCAGGGAGGAAACAGTTACCTGTGATCCACAGCCTCAGACTCATCTCACTGCACTTGCCAATGCTCCTTAAGTCTGGAGTCACTCTTACAACAAAGCATGCCAGTCACCCTCCCAAATGAATTTTCCAACAGCCACCTCCGACAGCAATAAGGGACTCTCCAAAACACCTCTGAAAATTTATTTACAATCATCTTCTGCCCTAAAACTGCCCCTGCTAGAGTCCCAGGAGTGATGCTGTACAGAAAACAGGCCATTTCAGGGAAAGTATTAATGAACAGGTGTGCCTCAACACATTTCCAGTCTGATACTGATCTGTTTCTTAAAAATCACATGCCCATCATCAGTCCTTGGTCAGAGCTGTGCAAAGCAATTCAGAGCTCTCTGGGCAGGTTGCACATGGAATTTGTGGACACAAGTCTTCCATGTGTCCTGTCATCCTGGGTTGATCTGTGTGACATCAGAAGGCAAGGTGGCCCAAAAATTGGGGGGGAAAGAGTCTCCAAAACCTACACAGTCTCAATATGGACACGAGCAAGATGGAGGAAAAAAATCAGAAAGTTATGGGGTGTTTTTCTTGGGAAACATTCAATTCATCCAAACAAACCCCAAACTGTACAAGATAATCTTTGCTGTGTGTCCCGCCCCCTTTTTTTTTACTAAAAAACCTTCATGGATAAGAAGCAGTATAAACACAGCGTAATGCAAGATGCATGTACCAATGTTGTGGAACAACTTAGTAGTGCTCCTGGCACCTGCTTGGATACAGAGATAACCCAGAAGTGAAGACTAAATGCAGCCACAGCAGCAGCTGCAACCACCAGAATTCCCTCTCTTGAGAAAACCTATTTTTATAAATTATTCCTGTTCTTAAATACAAAGAATAGAAAAAAAACCCTATTATCAAGACCTGTAGAGGCCATTTAGCTGCTGTAATGATCTACCCCATCAAACCTGAGACAAAAGCCATGTACCTCCCCTACAGAATCATAGGCTGAATTTAGTTTTGAAGCCCCCCCTCCAGAAGGTTGGAATGTGCCATATCACTCAACAAACAACCCCACAGTATCCTAACAAACCCTAATGGGATGCAGGATCCAGCTCAGTGTAACTGCATGACCCTTACAGACCTTTTGCACAGGAGAGCAACAACTCACATGCCTCACATGCACTCCCCAGCCCACCCAAATGTACAGAGGTGGCTTCACTGTACCCACAGCATTCTCTTGATCTGGTTCCACGGAGATGAGAGTGTGATCTCTGAACTGCAGTCTGGTTTTGCTGTCTATTTTTGGCAATTTCCCACCTAAGAGAAATAAATCCTCCTTAGAAAGGCAGAAAACCAGACAAACGGTTCAACTGAGCCCCCCTGTGCTCTCCCCACTCTCTCAAGGCTGGACTGTTTGTTAAGCTATGTTTCAACACCCACATGTCCTCAAACTGGTTGTGGAGGGGGCAAGGAGAAAGAGATTTTTTAATTCTCTCACCTTTCCTGTCTGCAAATAACTATAATAAACAGCAAGCTAGAGCCCAGGGAAAACTGCTCCCAGTTAAATGCTCTCGGGATACAGTTGATCACAGCTGCCAGTTCCAGTCTAGGATAATCTTTATTCCACTCGAAGGGAGTGTCATCTCTCCCACTGGACACGGGGAGCAAACACACACGTGGGGCCTCACGGCACACGAAGCTGATGCTGGACTGGGATCTTTGCCTACCACAAAATACTAAAAGTCCCAAGAGGAGCAGAGTTAGCAACAGCTCTACCATGGCATCAGCCAGTTTTAGTAACTTCAAAACCCACCTGGAGCATTCACCTGCTAAATATCCCCACGTGAATTCAAGCTGCACAGATCAGGCCTAAGCCAGTACAGAAATGCTGTAAAACTCTGGGCACTCCTCTTTTATCTTTGCAAGGTTAACACTTAGTCCCAAAACAACCACCTTTGTTTGTTTTACACATTCCCCATGAAAGCTCACTTTCCCTCGCTCTGGGGCTACTGCAATGCTAAAGGGCAAGCAAATGCAGTTGAAGAGACACTTGTTCCTCCTGGAGCTGATCAGCACGACAGGATCACCATAAAGAGGTCACACAACAATTTACATATCCACTAACTTCTAAAGACTGAAAAGCTTGGCCTCAGAGGAATTATGCCTGTCTGACAGACCCCAAGCAAATAGCATTACTTTTAGAAGGAAACAAGCCATACAAAGACACTGTGATAGGAAAGAAAAGCAGTGCAATGAATTAGGCAATGCTTGAGATGGAGCCAACCTCAGAAGAGTCATCCTGAAGACTTCAAAAGAAGTGGCTGGGCTGCTAGACAAGGCAGTGCCATTGCACTGAGCCTTCAGAGCAGATCAAGTGCTGAAGTTCCACCAGGGTGCCCCGTTATTCCCTCAGTCCCACCTACCCACCATCAGCAGTTGCCTCGGGATGCTCGTCCGCAGCGCCACGTCATCTTTTGCTGTGTCAAACACCAGGCCAGGAACTGCATCCAGTAAGAAATCTCCCCAAGAGCTGATGGACAGGAAGAAACAAACAAAAAAAAGTTCCTGAAATAGCTGCACTGAAATAAAACAGACATCACAACTGGTGTCATGGGCTGGAAACCCCGAGAATTCCAGATCTGCTCAGTGCCTTTGGCCCTTCCGTTACTGCTCTGTAGCCTCAGGCAAAGGCTTGTGCACATGTGTGTCCTCACCACCCTCAGGCCAGTGGCACTTCTACAGAGGGAAGGAACTGACTCGAGAAGGGTCCAGTTTCTTCTGCTTCCAGGTGCTTGCCATTTATCAGTGACTGCAGCTCAAGTGATTGATGAATTCCTCCTGGGGTCTTTATCATCCAGCCACGGGCACATACAGCCCCACTGCACACAGTGAAGTGTGTGGGGTTGGTTTTGTCACTTCACGTGCTTTTGAGACATTTCTATTGAAGGAGGAAACGTACCCAGGGTTATCAAATCCAACAGGGCATCAGTTTGCAGCTTGACTAGAAACTTAATTACGACCCCAAAACCAAGATGCCTGCAGGGATTTGAATGACACCTGACAGGCAGTTTGTAGGTGTCTTGTTTGCATTAAATCTCCATTCTTAGCCTACATACTTAACCAAAAACACTGGCTTTGATCCCTGTGCTTCTGTTCCCCACTTGTACCAATAAACCAGAGGAGGAGAGGGAGGATCCTACTCCTGCCTGCACCTTCTGTGCCCAGCTTGAGTCGACCTGGGCAGGAAGAGGCTCACGCCAAAGTGCTGCCCTGTCCATGGGTGACCTTCTTCCCTCCCACATCCTGAGGCTGATTTAATGGACAAACATCCAGGGCTGCCAGCAGAACTCCCACCCACCCAGGGCAGGCAGCAGGGCAGGGCCTGTCCTCCAATAGACACTTCACCCTCTGCTCTTGTTCTCCCTCAGCACTCCTGGCTGTCAGCTCTGATCTCTAGACACTACTTTAGTTTAGGAAAAAGAAAAAGTGCCACTTTTTGCAGTCTCAATATTTTTTTATCATCTCCACTCAAGTGTTCCACTGTCTGCTACACAGTGGGAGGGAAGAACTCTGGCCAGTGAAAGGAATTAGACATCTACTCCTCACTACTTCCCTTCTTTTGCCCCCACAGTCTCCATCTGCCAGCAACTGTCTTCAGCTACTCACTGCTTTTCCAAACTGCCCTGCTTATCCCACATGTGCACACTTCTCTCCTGCTGGGATCTGGCCCAGACAAACCTGAAAATAACCTGAAAGTGCCACCTCCACCAGCACTTCCTCCACAGCTGCTTTCAAGGATTTCTCTTCAATTTGCCAGGGAAATGTTTCCAGATCATACTCCCATCTACAAGTCAGAACACCAGCCTGCACCAGGACTCCTGCTCGTTTTCCCTGCACTTGCTGACAGGAGGTGCAGAGGCAGGATGTCAGCACTTCATCACCAACAGCCTTAACGGGGGATGACTCCACTTTTTAACCTTGGAAGAAGAGCAGCTTTTCCTTCTCCTCTCCTGTTTTTTGGGGTTAGTTTTTTTTTACCTTCTGAATAAAAGAACACGTGTGTAAATTGAAATCATCTGAACCCAACTTTTAAGAAGACTGACACCTTTGAGCAGCTTCCTCTTAACCCTCTCTCCATGTTGGAGGAGTGGCCAGATGAAGAGTTACCAGCCCATCCTGGCTTCCAGAATGGCACAGCTGGTGGTTAGAGATTCATCTCACAGTTATCTAGAATATGCCCAAACTTGTTCTGCCCTTCCTAATTCTTAACTCAGACCAATGGCTCCAAACCCAGCATCTGGGAGGCTGATTAGGTTGGCAAGAACATTTCCCTGTGTGATAACAGTGTGGGCACAAGGACTGGGAGTGTGTCATAAGAAATCTGACTTGCATACGTGGGGTAGGAGATAAAAAAAACACAGATAAGCAGAAAATGTTTGCTTGCAAGGAAGAATTGGCAGCAAATCTGTCAGAAGATTAGTGCAGGTGACTATCAAATACAGGAGAAAACGTGATGAAAGGAGTAACTCATGACTCTTTATCTGAGCTATGAAATGAAGAGTAACTTCAGCCACTGATGAGAGATTTTTTTAAATACAGAAGTGAGTTTGCAGTTGTAGCATTTTCCACATTAAAGCCTACAGCTGGTAAATAATAAAATAAGCAATTAAAAAGCAATCAAGCTTGCTGTTTCAAATAACAACAGTCTTCTTGCTCCCCTCCTTCCCCCAAGCCCCAAAACTTCACCACATCTCAGGTCTGTACTGCTCACACACATCACCTGGCAGAGGAAAGCCACACAAAACAAAAGATAAAGAATAATTACTTGTTTTGGTAGGTACTGATGGTCACGTGTGTGGAATGGGAGGTCCCAAGAGGAGTGTCAGCTTGGTGGATGGTCCCTCTTGGGAAGTACAGTAAGTCACCTGGCTGCAAGAAAATTGATATATTTAGGGCACCAGGTCAAACCTTATTGCAGTCAGAGAAAATACTCTCTGAGCAGACAGTCTGACAATATATATCCTTTAGAATCACAAAATGGAGCAGTCCTGCAATGTACACTTTAATAACATAAAGAACACTAAGCCAGAAGTTCAGAACCTTAAACTTTCCAACCTGCTGTCACTATTTACTGAAAACATGAAACAAGCTTTTTAACATCACAGAACACACAGACTCCCACTGAGCTGCAGGAAGAGGACAAAGAAGCAGCTGAGATGGACCTGCTGGCAACACAGTGGGCTGGCAGAGGAGCAGTGAAATGGGGATTTGGTCAGATCACATCAAAAGAAAAGGCTAGTATTCCACGAGAAAAGTCAAATAGTCTATAAAAATGGTAATCTGTTACAATACTGTTGTCTGAGATTTTCAGTTAAAGCACTTAAAAAACAGGTACGACCTTCCTCCTCCTCCTCCCTATCTTTCTTCTCATCTATGTAAATTAAAACTCCACACTGGAAAAAAAACTAGATAAGGAAAGTCAAGGCAAGAAAGGTGTAAAGCACATAAAATTGCCTCCAAGAAGGAAATAAAAGTTTACTTGTGGCTTGTCCTGTAAACACCTACAGAGTTGGACAGCACAGTCAAAGAAAACTGCCTTCCTTACCAGAGTGGGGACCACAGCAACCAAGAGTATTCTGAATTCTCTTCATTTGAAAGATGGAGAAAGGAAATATTCTAGAAAGATGTTTAGGGAGGAAATAGAGTCAAACAACAGCATCCCTCTCAGAGGCAGCCACAAAGAGACAACCAAACTTTGACAGCAGCCACCCAGAAGAAATGGGTCACAGGAAGTGAACAACAGCAAACAGAAGAAAAATAAATTAAAAACTTGGATAACTTTTAAGCCCGTCATTATTCCATAAAAATGAAAGGCACTGAAGTCTGGTCCAAAATATTCCAGGAATGAAAAAGGGAACTGTAGTTTACCAGACTTTGCATCACCCAGTACACGATGACGATTGAATATTCCCCTCTGTCAAACAACACAGCTCATGATGTCAGCATCCCATCCAACATGTCACACTGTTCCTAAAACACCTACACCATCCAACATGTCACACTATTCCTCAAACACCGACACCCAAATGCAGCTCTGGACACTGAGAAGAGCAGAGAGAGGCTCCATAACAGGCCAAAAGGCAGAGAAACTCCTGAGGATTCCAACATGGAGCAGCACCACCAGCTGGACAAGTAACACTTCAAAAGCAGGTCAAACAGAACAGGACAAGCACCAGATTCCCTGCTGACACTCAGTAATCTTCATGAAATGTTCCTTTCATTCCAAAAATCAACCACCAACCAAACACTTGAATTTCAGGTTTGGAAAAAGGAAGAGCAATTAATACAGCAAGTTTATATGGGGTTTGGGTCATGCTTTTCTTTATCAGCCAAGGATAAATATTTAAATCTCATTCACCAGAACAGTGACAATGTTCAGTGCAGCAGTAAGTCTCAGTGCACAGGAGGATTAGCCTGAGGGATTACAGGCAGCATGTAAAAGCATAAAAATGTTTTATAACCATACACAAACCCAGTGTTTTTTCTGCACACAACTCCACAAACATGACCTAGGAGTCAGGGTGCCCAACCTGGAGAGTACTAGTCAATTTACAGAAATAACTGGGGGTTTTGGCCCATTATTTAAATACTAGAAGCAAAGGATACCTTTAAAAAAGGATACAGACAACTCTCACCCAAATTTCTCGTGCTCGCAGTGTGCAAACCCTCCCCTCGTTAATTTTTAGATGGCTACAATTCAGAGAAATTTAAATTTGAACTCATTTTTTTTGTCTCTATTTAGAGACAACAGACAGAGGAGTTGTGAAGTGGGACCTGTTTTATCCTAAGGCAGGCATTTGGAAATCCCTGTTTCTCTCCAGTCACTTCAGTAAGTGCTAGAGAACTAACCCAAAAGGAACATCTGCCACACAAATAGCCAAAATTTCAGGTGGAAGAGGCTTATCCCCAACAGAGCATCAGAAACCTCTATAGGGTGCCCAGTGGGGGTAGATGGCATGAGTTAGAAATGCTGGATGTGAGGCTGCTGAATAACAAGCATAAGGAAAATGAAACTCCAGGTGTATTGAATGGAAATGAAAATATTAAAAAGCAAAATACACATATAAGGATTGGATTTTTTGATTTGATTTAAGTGGGATAGTCCAATTTTTTCTTTATAACGCAGTGTATCTTTGTATGTTTCTTTTAGAAGCTGATTTAAAATGCATTTGGACCACAGGAATTCATCATATCAGAAACTTCTTAAAAACAGCAGGACCAACAAGCACAACCAGTCTGCTGTTACAGTCCAGCTGAAGAAAGAGCAAGTACTTAGTAAAGGAAAAAGGACTTGTAAATTCTTGGGGCCTGAATGAAGTGAAAATGAAAAAAACAGGTGCTAGAAAGCTTCTGCAGCTGTGAAAACAAACTTCTCTTTTTATCTAAGGGAAATACCAGGTCTGGAAAACCCAGTTTACATGATATTATGATTAGATATTACTATTAGTAAATTTTCAGCAAAAATACGTAAGAAAAACGACTACAAGGAAACACAAATTAAAAAAAAAAACATTTTCCTATAATGTTTAGTGGGGGGGAGGGTTAGAAGCACACACACAACAGCAAACACTGCCATCAGCAAAAGCCCATGCACAATTTCCCAGGCAAGGTTGTGCTGTCCTACCTCAACATCATCATAGTGAGGAGGAAGGCCCTGGGATCCCTGGGCAGTGATGGAAACATTGGACCCCACCAGAGACCCAAAGCAGCACTCCAGCTTCTCCTGAAAATCTTCCACAGCTCCTCCTGTAAAAAAAAAGATGCTGTTACTTGCTGAAGAGCTCAGGCAAGCCCAGCCCACATCCTCCCCATGGCTTGGGAAGAATGATCACATCAGGGACACAGAGGCTGGGAAGGAAGGTGCTCTGTACCAGTGTTTCTCCTGAAGGAGAGCACTGGAGATGCAAAGGGGATCTGCCAGGAGAGTCATTGCTAAGCCAAAAAGTCTGGTGCCCCAACCTGGGTTTGTTCTTTTCCCTGTGCCATCTTTAGGCTGCACAACCAGACAGACAAGGCTGAACAGAGGAAAATAATCCCACAAACAGCAAAACACCATAAGACAATAAGCACATGCAGGACCTGCATTCTCTCACCAGAGAGAACACACAAAGGTTAGAGACCTTTCACCAGTCACTCCAATCATTTGGGAATATTCAAAACCAAACTTGACTCATCCACACCCCACATGTGACAGACAAGGCACCGAAGGGAAACAGCAGAACGTGCCAAGTACCAGATCCACACAAGTGCAGCTTGGCCATTAAAGCTGACAGCAGCCAGGAACACTATACCTGGGACTCAGCTTGTATTTGGGATCTTATTTGGGCCCACCTCACAATTCAATTGTGTTGACACCTTCGAGACTACCTGAATCAAAGCACCTCCAAGAATCCAAGTCCTTTACACAACTGTGCAGCACCACTGTCTCCTTCTCAAACTCAAGGACTGAGAACACTCAGCTAAAATGGGCTGGTACCTTTCCATGGTGCAATTCACTGGCAAGAACACTGGAAATATTTCACATGGTTTCACACCTTACCCTCCATTAAAGGGAAGTGGCTCAAAAGCCACAAAGTTTGCACAGGGAAACAGTGGGGCAGAAGGGATAATTTAAGCACAGATGCCTAATCATCAATTTTGTGCATTTGTTTTTTTTTCCAAACTTTTATGTGTCAGAGCAAAATTTTAAAAAGAATATATTATTACACATATTATAGCATGAATCAGATTTTGTTCTTACTGCAGAGCAGTGAAACATGATGGACAGTGCAAAAGTATAAACTGTGTTTTAATACAGCTCATGTAAAGATTTCAGCAGGTCATCAATGTCAACCACTTCCCCTGGGCACAGAGATGAAGCCATGTCTAGTGCAACTCAAGTAAAACACACCACATTATTAAGCCAGCATCAGTTATATCCAGTGAAACAATCCCACCTTAAATCTCTGAGGCTGATGAAACTGTATTGTTGCCTTTTTCTGGTCAAAATCCTTCTTCAGCTGCATGTAATTCACTTTGCCTTCTTTATTTAAAACCTTCTTCTCTCCATTCACACACCTGCAGATATTCCCATCTCGCCCATAGTACAGGCCCTGGCTGCACAGCTCCTTCAAGTCTGACAGCTGGAACAGGGACAGGGAGTAAGCAGCCACCAGGGGATCATTGCTCTGCACGAGCAGTGGCTTTTGCTCCCAGTACTCCTTGAAAAACACCTCTCCTTTGATGGGGGAGATCAAGCTCCCGAAGAGGCTGTCTGGGTTCTCAAAACTCAGGACTGAGAACAAGCTGCTTCCAGCTTTGCTCGTTTACACTGTGCCTGTGTTTCTTTTCCCATTTCAGCATGCTTCCCTCCTTCCTTGGGCATGGTTCCTGTTCAAGAGGAGAGAGGACCAAAACAATCAACCAGCAACACAACCTCAAGAGCTCACGGGCCCAGAGCAACAACTCTTCCCCTACCCAGTGGGATATCAGAGTATCCCGGGAACAGCTCTGGTTTCAGAGCCTCACTATTTGCTCCAAAGCATTAACAGTTTACAGAAGACAGGGAACATTGTTAGGCCTTCCTGTTGATGCTCCTTAATTACTACATTTACAAGTTTAAAACTTGTAAAATTTACCAGTTTAAGAACTAAAAGACCAAGATTCTGCTTTCAGTCCTGTCGAGCTGTCAAACTTTGTTTATGTAGAACAAAAAGAATTCTTTCATACAAGCACAGACATTTCATTTTAAAGCTGGAAGTCATGTACTTTGTTTTTCCCAGGCAGATAGTATGATTGTGTACCATTATGCCAAAATAAAGAAGTTGATCTACAAATGGCTTGGCTGCCAAATTCTCAGGAAAGTTAAGGGGAAAATCAAGTAACGGTAGGTAACTGTGCAAGTCTGGAAAGCCAACACCTGAGAAGTTTGAACGTGCTGATGCCATAATTTCTAAGTAAAAATGACAGTTCTACTCCCTACACCCATTTGATAGGAAATGCTATCAATTTGTTGAGATACTTTTATTTACACAGATCCTGTATTTTGAAACTTAAACTCCAGTTCTGGTATTTACATGCAGCACTAAGTTCTTCTGTGCAGCAGGACACCCTTGCTGGCCCACTAACTCCTGGGCAGTGTTTCATCAGCAGCTCCTGCACAGCCTGTCCCTCAGCAGTAACCGAGGGTCACCTCAGCCCTGCAGGAGGGAATTCACATCACCTCCTTCCTGAGAGAATGAACATTCCCAACTGCAGCACGAGGCAAGGGAATGCGTAAAAAATTAAAGACTGAAAATCAGTCCCTGACTGACAGCAAGATCTGAAGATGCTGCTGAAGGCACCAAGATCTAAAGCTGACATCCCCAAATGACAGCAACACAAATGCAACCAAGCCTGGATTAAGAGTTTTGAATTCCAGACCTAAATCCATTGTACCAACCTCTCAGCTCATTCACACTGATTTAAAGAGGTTACATTCAGATATTTACTATTCATAGAGCGCAGCTTCGTTTACAACACGGGCTGTTCTGTAGCCTTCTGCTGGTTATTACAGCTGTTCCAAGCCCCCTGCCATGGGCAGGGATACCTTCCACAAGATCTAGTTGCTCAAACCCCCATCCAACAGGATCCAACCAGGCCTTGAGCACTGCCAGGGATGGGGCATCCACAGCTTCTCGGGGCAACCTGAGCCAATGCCTCACCACCCTCCAGCAGAAAAAAATTCTCCCTTACATTTAGTCTAAACCTAAACCGTTCAGCTTAAACCCATTGCCCCTTGTCCTGCAGCTACAGGCCCTCATAAAAAGTCCCTCTCCATCTTTCTTGCACCACTTAAGCCCTGACAGGCTGCAAGGAGGTCTCCACAGAGACTTCTCCAGATTGAGCCATCCCAACTCTCCCAGCCTGTCTCCGCAGCTGCTCCATCCCTCTCATCATCTTCCTGGCCTTCCCTGGACTTGATCCAACAGGTCTGTGCCCTTCTCACGCTGGGAGCTCCAGAGCTGGATGCAGCGCTCCAGGTGGAGAATCACCAGAGCGCGGCAGAGGGGCAGAACCCCCTCCCTCACCCACGGCCCGCTGAATGGGATGCAGGATACGCCCGGATTTCTGGGCTGGGAGCTCAGCGCCAGCTCAGCCCCAACTTTCCATCCACCAGCACCCCCAATTCCTTCCGTGCCGGGCTGGAGGACAAAGCCCAGCGCAGAACCCCACACGGGAGCAGCTGCTCCCCGCCAGGGCTGTTCCCTCCCACACCACGGCAGCTCCCTGGGAAGCGGCGGGAATACCGCCGGGCACAGCGGGAATAGCGCCGGGCACGGCGGGAATAGCGCCGGGCACGGCGGGAATAGCGCCAGGCACAGCGGGAATACCGCCGGGCACAGCGGGAATAGCGCCGGGCACAGCGGGAATAGCGCCGGGCACAGCGGGAATACCGCCGGGCACAGCGGGAATAGCGCCGGGCACAGCGGGAATAGCGCCGGCACAGCGGGAATAGCGCCGGGCACGGCGGGAATAGCGCCGGGCACAGCGGGAATACCGCCGGGCACAGCGGGAATACCGCCGGGCACAGCGGCTCCGAGGACACGCGGTGTCCCCGCTCCCCCCTCCCGGCTCCCGCCGCCTCCATCCAGCCCCTTCCCGTCCCGCGGCCCCGCACTCACCCGGGCAGGAGGGAGGATCGCGTGGGATCGGGGCGGGCCGGGATGGATCGGGGCGGGCGAGGGGAGGCGAGGCCAGGCTGGATGTGCCGGGTGGGAGCGGGAGGCGATCCTGCCGCGCTGGGAGTCACGGCAGGAGCCGCTTCCGGGCGGCCAGTCGGAAATCCGGCGGCATTCCAGGGTCATTCCAGCGTGTATTCCAGTGGGAACGCAGCAGCACTAAGGTTAATCAATCTGCTTCATACAACGGTGCCTGGGCTTCAGCTCCGTTATTTATTTTTTTTTTCCTGGACCAAAAATCTTCTTCTGGAGTCTCCCTGAGTCTCCCTCAAAGAAAACTTTGGAATCCTCACCGAGCACGTGAAAACTTCCAGAAATATTTTTGGATGCCTGTTAATGGTTTGGTTTACGTTGGCTAATGATGTCAGAAACAAAAGGAAATGTTAGATAGGCATTGCTGAAGCTTTGTTCTTGTGTACTGGCTTGAAGGATACGAAGCAGAACTAGCAGAAATAAAAAAGGTGGATTTTGGAAACCTCAGCAGCCTTACAGTGCACGGCTGATGTTGGTACAAAGTGACACTGCCATAAGTGTAACTAGAAGGACCTTTCAATGACAGGTAAGAGAGGGGACTGTGTCCTGTCAACAACTTAAGGAGGGAGAATAACAGAGCCTTGCACATCTCCAACACCAGTTCAAATCCTTCCCTTTACGGAAAGTGGGTTTCAGTCTTGTTCCTCCTCACAGTGTGGTTGTTACACAGTCAGAACTTCTGCTTCCCTGGCACCAGCTGGATCATTTGGAACAAATGTCGTGATTCCAGTGGGTTCTGCATTCATGGATGCATCCAGCAAATTCCTGTGTGCTGAGCAGAGGAAGTGGCAAAGTATAATATATAGAAAAGGGGGGTGGAGGAGAGAAAAAGGCAAACGCTGCTCATACTGTTCAGTCCTTGTTCCTTTACCACCTGGACCGCTCTGTCGCCAGCTGACCAAAATATCCTGGTCACTTGAACATGAAATAAGGATTAATCAGCATGTGGCTGGGTTACCAGCAGAGAGATTTTGCCAGGGGTAAACCTACAGCTGTCCTAATTGTAGAAATGTGTACAAATTAGATAAAAAAATTTAAGTTTCTTTAGAAAGCTTTTTTTTCATAGGCCTGTGAGCTTCAAAGAAAAAGAAGACAATCTCCACTTTCTAATTCTGAGTTCATCACTACATCCCTCAACATCCAGGACATTTTGCAAAATTTATTAAACTTCAAATATTTTAATGTAAATGCTCATCAATAGTTGGGATATTCAAAGTGAAAAATAGGTCACTGTCATGAAATTCTCTTTATTTCTTTCATGAGAATTAGCAAGCTTTGAAGAAGGAAGTAGTTCTCCAGACTTAAAAGGTTGCATCACCTAAATTAACACTCACAGGATGGGCGTACCAGCAGATGCTAAAAATAGAGAGGCCACATCCTGCACCTCAGCCAGTCACAGACACCCTTAAAAAATGTTATTTCTGTTCCAAAAATCCACAAAGTACCTCAGCATAACTGCCTGGACACCATCAGGGTGAATACTCAAACAAATACACATTTACATAATGGCTGTGGTGTTTTTAATTTGCTGTGGGACATAAACCCCACACATCTGAGCGGCTGCAAAACCAGTAGGAATGGGGAAATACTTTTGAGTACCTTTTTAAAGACTTCCGGGCTGATCTGGAGAGACAAATTGGCTAAAAGTATTTATTCCCATCCCAGTGGGGAAGGTAACACAGCTTCAGAGGAGGGTGGTGGGCGCTGTAACCAGCCCTCTAGCACCCCCCAGACGAGAAATAATGCGTTTAAATACCGTTTGTTATTTTTAACTACTAATACAAGCAACAGCTTTTTGAAGTGTAATTGATCCCGGTATCATCCCTGTCACTGCCTTAAGAAAATAAAAATTATAACCTTTGCTGTAAAAATATCCAGTCAAGTTTCATCAGCATTTACAAGGGCCTGTAGTGACAGCACAAGGGGGAATGGCTTCAAACTGAGAGAGGGCAGGTTTAGATCGGATATTACGAAAAAATTCTTCCCTGTGAGGGTGGTGAGGCACTGAAACAAGTTACCCCAAGAATTTATGGATGCCCTATCCCTGGAAGTGTTCAAGGCCACGTTGGATGGAGCTCTGAGCAACCTGGGATAGTGGAAGGTGGAAGGACTGCCAATTCCAGCACAGGGCTCCTGCAAGCACACGGCTCTACTTCCACCCTGGAAAGAAAGCCCTTACCCTCCGTCTCTCACGTGCAGTTGGTGGGGCAGCCTGGGCACTCGGTGGGCAGCAAGAGCTTTCTGTGGTGGCACCTTTTGTCTGGCAGGAATCTTCAGTTGGATTCAATTTTCCAGGAGGTGGGACCGGCCATTGCAGAGCAGGGCTGAAGAAAGGGAACAGCAGCTCTTTTCCTAAGGAAAAGAAGTCTGGATCCTTTGGCTTTGAGGTGCAGTTGTTGGGGCAGCCTGGGCACTTCTTGGGCAGCAAGAGTTTTCCGTGGTGGCACCTTTTGTCTGGCAGGAATCTTCAGTTGGATTCAATTTTGGGGAGGTGGGACCGGCCATTGCAGCGCAGGGCTGAAAAAAGAGAGCAACAGCCCTTTTTCCCAGGAAAGCAAGCCTGTAACCTTTGGGTTTCAGGTGCAGTTGGTGGGTTTTACAGATTGGTCAGGGGCTGCCATGTGGTTCTTTAGATGATTACTTCGAAGGCGAGATTAAGGCACAAAACTCCAAATGTTAGGTCTCAAACAGACAATTTGCTTTCTTTGTAGCAATAAGTAATGGTAAAATCGAGGCGGGAGGGGAGAAGAAGAGGGAGAGATAAGGAAAAGGAAAGTACAAAAAGGTTACCACCCCCAGTGAGAGATCCAGGTGTAGTCAGCCTCAGG